CAGTCCCAGCCGTAGGACGAGTACCTGAGAGATGCCCCTCATAGGCCAAGGGCAGTTCTGTGGCACTTCTAGGGAGTGGGAGTCAAGGTCAGGGTCCAGCACAGGGTCAGAATGAAGGCTGCTGCCTAGGGCCCCAGAGTCCCCTTCCCAGGGGGAGGACACCAAGCAACCCCACCCTGTGGGCACAGGGGACTCCTGGCCTTTGCACCATGACAGGGCAGACGCCCCTTAGGACGGTCCCCGTGGGGGCCGAGTGGTGGCCCACCCTGGGCACACTTGGGCCTTCTCAGTGTGAGTGCAGAGCCAGGCTGCCCCAGGGAGGGCGGGCCACAGCCTCCCCTCAGAGGCCAGGACTCCGAATGGGACAGGAGGTCAGTGACACTTGTTGATGGCTCATACAGCAGACCCGTGTTCATGAAGGAGAGGAGGAAAGAAGGCCATGGAAGGGTCTCGGGGTTACACTTGACCTGCCAACACATACAAGAAGCTCCCGTTTGTGAGGGGACTGCTGACTTCTCTCTGCCCAAGAAAGGCAGGCCCAGCTTTTTAACAACGTGCATGTGACATGGTTCTCAGAACGTAGGAGGGAGGAGCCAAGGGGAGGCACACAGGGCAGAGGCGTGGCAGGAAGAAGGGTCCCCATGCTGAGCATGAGAGCTTTATTCTTTAGACAGCAGACCCTGGACAGGAGTGTTCAGCTGACGCGCCTGCCCAGAGCAGGGGGAGCCGTGACGGGCAGCCCCCTCTGCCAGCCACCATCCACAGGCAGGTGCCATCCCAGGCCACAGAGAGCAGAGCTTCAGAACGTGCATTCTGGGGACAAAGGACAGAAGTTAGGGTGAGCGGTGCCACCTCCACCCACCCTGCCCAGCCTGGATGCCAAGGCAGGGTGGTCTCCAAGGCAGCGCCTCTCTGAAGCTGCCCTCGGGTTCCAGGGAAACACAGAGTGTCCCCACAGCCTGTGAGGACAGCTGCCTCTCCCATGGAGGGTCACTAGGGGAAACATCTGGACCCAGGTCATCAGGGCAGGGGAGAAGTGAGGTGTGCCTTGGCAGGACCCTTGGCCAGCACTCAGAGAAGAGGCGGAGTCCCCAGAGGGCAGGCAGAGGAAGGGGGACAGCCAGCAGGGGCTTGGCCAGCTCCGTGGCTGGTCTCAAGCCTTCTCCGGCCCTCCTCCCTGGCTGTGCTCAGGACGGAGGCAAACGCCATCCTTGGTCAGAGGCTGCAGCAGCTGGAGCTCAGCCTCCTCCCTGCCGCCCCAGGACAAAGCCAAGTCTGGCCCCTTGGCTCTGATTCCAGGAAGGTGCTTCGGGAAGGCAGGTCCTGAGAAGGTGAGCTGGCCCCTGGGAGGCCAGATGGCTCTCAGCAGACAGGCACTCCCAAGACCTGGTGGGTGGGGCCCAGATGGAGCCAGGATGGCAAACCACCTGTGCTCACGCCATCTGTGGTTGGCTCAGGCACAGGGCCCCTCCCAGAGCAAGAGGGGGCTGTGCTGCACCCCCACTGACCCCTGGTCCACTGAGGGAGGAGGGAGGACAGGCACACCCAGTGGGCAGTCAGCAGCAGGTTGGGGTGCAGGGAGGCACCAGGGCACCACACCAGCATGGCCACCAGCTGCTGTGAGCAAGTCACAGATGACAGGGACCCTGGGTGCTTGGTTTGCAGAAAATAGCCTCAAAAGTCAGCTCAGCATTCCACACCTGCACATCTCCCCTTCTCTGTGGGACAGTTTAATCTGGTTCCTTCTACAGGATTCCTTAACCTAGAACATCTTTTAACAGCGTCCCTTTTATATTGTATAGAAAGGGGACAAAAGGGACCAGCCAGTGGCTACCAGCTGCCCTCAGCAGAGGGCCACTGATAAGAGGCTCTCCACACAGACAGTCACAGTGACAGTGCTGGTTGTCCTGCACAAGCCCAGGCATGTGGGCCTTCCTGGGGGTCTTCATGCCTCTACTAGGGCCCAGGCAGGACGAGGGTCTTGAGACGCCAGGCACCTGTGGTTACCATCCTGGGCCTTACCTGTCTCCTGCAGAGGCTTGAAGCACCAGGGCACCCCTGGAGTCTTGGAGTCAAAGCAGCAGCCGCGGTTATTGCAGTCCTCCTTGCCAATGGCAGGGTAGCCACAGTCCACTCTCTCACTGCCCGGGATGGCACACTGGCTTTCCACTGCTCAAACAACACCAGGTCAGTGCCAGAGCCCCCAGGGCTTGGGGCCAGGTGTTGGCCTCAGTCTGAAGTTCACATCCTCCCTTAGCCCACTCTGAGCTCAGAGATGGTGTCTCCCTGCCCCTGGAGCATGGGCTGTCCCCAGGAATGAAGGACCTGGGCTGTTGAAGGCCACACCCGGGGACCCAGTGTGGCCCTGCTGGCTCTCATTGGCATGCTCCCTGCACCTTGTCAGGAAGTCTGGGACCTCAGCAGGCCCTGGGGAATCCGGGTCCCCAGAGCCCAGACCAGGCGCCCCTCCTTGTTTGAGCAGCAACCCCTGCCCCCTGTCTAGAAATGGCCATGTGCAGGACATGCCCTGTCCTCGGGAAGTCAGCCAGGTGCTGGTGCTGGTGCTGTCCCTCCGCACCCGCCACCCAAAGCCTCTGCTTGTCACGACATGGCTGCACCTTGGGCCCCGACACTCCGCGTCCCGAATCCTGCAGGCCTGCCTCCATGTGCCTAAAGGTCCACCTGGTGCCATGGCAACTAGACTCTTCCTTGAGGAAATGGACCACGTGAAAAAGCCCCGGGCCAGCCTGCAGCCTCTACTCCAGTGCTTTCCAGGGCCGTGCCCGTTGCAATCCCTGGCAGTCTTTGAAATCCACCAGGGCCTGGCTCCACCCTGAGACGGTCTTACAGGAGGAGCTGACCAGCCCCCAGGTGACCCTGGTGGGTGGCCCACTTTGGGAGCTGCTGCCTGAGCCTGCTCTGTCTTGGGAACCTTGTGAGGTCACCCCTTCGTGCCCTCAGACTTGTCCCTAGCACCACCTGAGCTGCAAAGCCATGGTGGCAGGAAGACAGTCGGCAGAGCCACGTTGTGGACCAGTCCCTTCCTCCTCTCTTTTGTCAACTGCCAGCATGTTGGGCAAAGTCCTATGGTATGATCAGAAACCTCTGGCAAAGATGGCACCACGGTGGGAGTTGGGTGCCAGCTGTCCCCCAGGGCCACCCTGGGTGCAATCGAGTTTTCAAGCCTGACCCGCAGGGGGCTGCCTTAGAGATGCTGACTCTTTGAGCTTCAGTTTCCTGAGTGTGACACAGGGACAATGAGACCCTCTATGTGGGGCTGCTGCAAGAACAGGTCTGAATCTGACAAATGGTGATCACTAAGTTGACGTGGAGTAGAAGCATGAGGGTTTCTCAACTCTGGAGCCCACAGAAGGGCACCCTGCCTGCAAGTCTCTCCCTCTCTTGTGTCCCCACCCTGCCATCAGGGACCAGAGTGGTACTCACACAGGCCGATGTACTCCTCAGCCCTTCCAGAGGACCCCAGGGCCAGGACCAGCAGCAGCACCCAAAGTGCTCTGGCCTCCATGACAGTGGGCGTCCTGAGGACCACACACAGGATGTGTCATTGCACAAGAAGGGCCCATTTATACCCCTGTGTTTTCACAGTTTTCTGGGTTGTTTGCTTGGGGAGGGCCCTCCAGAGCCCAGCTCCACCCACCTTTCTTTCCCCTGGCCACAACTGCAAAGCACCAGAGGCTGGCAGCCCTGTAGGGAGGGCCACTGGGGTGGACTCTGCTCTGGGGCTGATGCTCCTCCATCCAGGAGGCAGGAGGCAGGTTGGGGCATCTCAGCTGCAGGAAGGGAGGAGGGCTCAGCGTGGGGCGGGAGGGCTGCCTCTACCAGCACTGGGTCCCTGATACTAAGGCTGCCATTCTCAGCCACCAGGCCAGGAGCCATGCAGAAGGGCCCTGCCCACCAACAGGCCCCTGAATCCAGAGCTGGAAAGCCGGCAGCACCTGAGTCAGGTTCTGACATCCTCCCAGGAGTCTTGAAAGGTGGGTTTTTTTGTTTTGTTTTGTTTTGCTTTTTTCTATCAAAACCTGTTTCACTCTTAACTACATGTTAATAAATATAGGAATACACTTAATCTATGCATTTAAATAAAAAGATACATAAACTTGGTTTCAAAATCAAATAATAGAAGAGACCCTTCCTGCCCAGAAACATCTATTTCTAACACCTACCGTCTCTGGATCTAAGCACATAAGCACCAGATGGGCAACTCGGGGACACCTCTCCACTGAGCCACATCCTCAGCCCTATTTTTTGTATGTATCTTTTTTTTTTTTTTAATTTAGAGACAGAGTCTAACTGAGTTACTTATTGCCTCACTTTTGTTGCGACTGGCTTGAACCCGTGATCCTCCTGCCTCAGCCTCCAAAGCTGCTGGGATTATAGCCGTGTGCCACCACACCTGTCCTAAGCACGTTTTTATCACAAATGTACATCTTTTCCTAGAATTCTTTTTCTTTCCCTTCCCTTTTTTTCCTTATTCTTCTTTCTCTTTTTCTCCTCCTCCTCCTCCTTCTTCTTTCTCTCCCTCCTCTCCCTCTCCTCCTCCTCCTTTTCTTCCTCCCCTCCTCTCCTCCTTCTACACAAGTGCTGACCCCTGGAACCTGACTTATAGCAGCCTACCTACATGAGCTGGAGAGACTTAAACCTGAGAAACAGGCTCAACCTGCATGAGCCATGAAGACCTTGCCCCCTCTGGCAGACCAGTCCCCTCTGCAGGGCCCGGGGTGCCAACCCCAGCTCTCAGGAAGTGGGGGTTGTGGGGAGCAGGGGCTGATCTCAGTCCCAGGCCCTTTTGCTACTGGTGACCGCCAGGTCCCCTCTGTCTTTGCTGAGGTGCTGTGATGACATTTGAGGCTCTTGCAGGGACCCACCTGGAAATCCTCAGGGCACATTCTGTGCCTCGTGCCACCACATGGGCATGTTTGAATGACCCCCTTATTTGAGTGGTGGGGGTGTTGGTGGGCAGGGGACTCTGCAGAGCTGTCCTTCTCTGAGGGCCCAGGGGAGCCAGGCTGGGTGCTTCCTGGGAATTGGGATGTGTGCTGTCAGGGGACATGTTCCTGTGCCAAGGAGCCCTCCACAGTGGACTGAGGTGACGGCCACACCTGGCTTGCTCCTGCTGTGAAGGCCTTGAGGAGGACGGTGAGAGCCTGCTGCATCGTTCCCAGGCACTTGCTTTTCTGCAAAGGGACAGCTGACCCTGGGTTACCACAAGGTGACACACTAGGCTCTGACAGGAGTGACAGATCTGACGGCTGTGGCCTGGGTAGGCATGGGCAGAGCTGGGCTGCATCAGGTGGACAGTTAGGTCCTCGGAGGAAGGGGTCTAGGGCTAGCCCCTGGCCCTGGAGAGCTGGAGGTCTGCAGGCGGAGACCCTGCATGTGAGGTCTCCACCTTCTGTTCTCACAAGCACCCTGCCCAGGGACCACAGGCTTGAGCAGGAGACGATGGTGGGGCGAGGGCACCACCCACACCACTTCCACTCCTGCACCCTCTCTGCCTCCCTGGCCCCCAGGGGAAGCCAAGTCCCAGGAGTTAAGTAGAACCAGGGCCACTGCCCCAGAGCCCCACCCTGACAGCTGGCTGCTTGTGGCGCCAGCACCAGGTAAGCAAGCCCCCGCCTCTCTCCTCTCCTCCCATCCCTACAGAGTCACCCAGCATGTGCAGAGAGGACTGTCTGCGACCCTCCCCTGCCTACTCCTCCCACCCCACATCTTGCATGCTGCTGTTCGAGGGCAGGCCGGGCCTCCTGCATGGGTTGGAGAAGCAGCAGTCTGGCCCTGGTGCGGGGTCTGCAAACTTCCACCTCTGGAACTCATCATCACTGGCACATATGTAACAAGGACAGACTGACCATGGACCAGGCACTCAGCCTACAGACGCTGGAGCCTCGGGACCCCAGGCAGAGCCCTAAGAGCCCACAGCCCAGTGAGGAAGAACCAGTCTGGAGGAATGAATGGTGGTGCAGTATGGCAAGAGCTGGCAGCACGGGTGACATCCTACCGGGGGGCTGAGGGACGGATAGGAGTCCACCAGATGGGAGAGGGTCAGAAGGGCATTCCAGACTCGGCTACAGCTGCCTGCCTGGCACTTCTCCCTCTTGTGGCGCGGACAGGGCTGTATGCTCCATGTTCCCTCTCCACTCTCTAGTGCTGTCACTCTCTGTTACTGGAACCGGCAGAGCCAGGTGGAGGAGGAAGGTGCTCAGACAGGACAACACCCCTCTGGAGCTCCTGCTGACCAGCTGTCACCTGCTCTCAGACACCCTGGGCATGGCCCTGCCTCTGCACAGAGCTCCCTCCTGCCTCCCAGAGAGAAACTTCCAGACCTTCCTGAGTGCTCAGGACCAGAATGTGCATGTTCTGGGAGACAAACACAGCAGCTGCTCAGGGGAGCACCTGTCTTTTGGCACATGGCCTGTGGGGACCAGGAACCATGTGGGCTAGGAACCATGCAAATGGGACACACCAACTGCAAATGGGGGCCCCCCTCACTGGGCCATGTCCACCCACCTTGGAAGACACATGAAGCCCCGGTGTTCAGGGACAACCAGGTCCAGCTCGGGGAACACTTGGTGATGCTCTCGCCAGTCTGTGGACCACCACGGTGACCCTAAGCTCAGAGCTGCCGCGGCAGACGGTGTTGAAGAGTCAGGAATGGCGCGGCTGCCGGCGCGGGCTCATCCCCACGTGGAGCAGGGACCTGGGCTGAGGGCAGGGAGGGCTGAGGGGCAGAGCAGCAGCACCCCTTCCTGGACCACAGCTTCCCGGGCTGGCACCGCAGTCTCTGGGCTCCTATCCCACGTGCTGCCGGGGGGGGGGGGGGTGGGATTCCTCGACTGCACCTCCTCTGACTCTGGTTCTGCTCCCGACACTCCTTCACCACTCTTTGCCTTCTCACAAACGTGGCAGTGTCTTTGGTTCCTGAGACAAGGTCTCTTCATGACTCAATGTCTCTCCGGTCAGGTCTAGGATGGCTGCCGGTTCTCCTGCGCTCCACAGCCTGTTTCTGCTTCCTAGACCTGCCCGGACCCGCCCCTAGGAGGCAGGCAGGTCCTGAGGGCTCATTCTGGTGCTTGCTAGATGTTAGATTCTCCAGAGGCAGATCCCAGACTCCTGTGGCCCCCAACTATGGTGGCATGTGCCAAGCTCTCTTGTGGTACCACTAGGATATTTCTCACTAGAAGTGACCAGAGAGAGTCACATCTCCCTTGGAGCAAGATGGCCGTGGGGGAACTCACAGCACATCAACAGATCTCTTGAAAAATTCTCACAGATCATGGTCTCCAAAATCCACTTTCCTTGAGCCTTTTATAAGTTTCAGTTAGGTAAAATATTTGGGGTTCATCTAACCATCCACAGCTAGATTGTTTTTCTGATCTGTCACCTGACTATGAAGTGTGTGCGGTGTCTGCTGACGTCTCAGCTAAGCCACACACTGTCACCTCACTGCACTGAGAATATGAGGCACAGCCAAAATAGAACTGTATTTACTCACTGGATTCTGCATTTAGAAATGAGAAGTTGTAAATGTGATTTCTTGAGAGCCTCTTGTGGGCAGATTATGTGACAGGCTCTGTAAAGGAGGCAAATCACGTTCCCAGTTCCGACACATGAGCTTCTTAGTAGAGCGGAAAGCTGGATACGAACACAAAGTATCTACTGTACTGAGGGAGCTGAGGGAAGAGCCAGTGAGTGGGGAAAGTGGCTGGATATCAGCCTTGTTCCGGGCAACGTGGCCGTTTTTAAGGTTCAATCTTTAAGGTGAGATTGCAATAAGTCACTGAGTCAATCTTAAAACAGGAGATGGGAACGTGATTCAACCAGTTGGCAGTCTGGGTCCACCAGCTGCTGGGCCAAGGGGGAGGCTGTGAGTCTACACCTTCTGACCCCCTCCTGGGGTTTGAGTACACCTTTTATAGTCCAAAACCATTTCAAAGCACAAGTGGCTGTTGCTATGACTCAAAACCATAAGCAAACGTCATGAGATCTAAAACCATGAGCAGAACAGTGAGTGGAATGGTTACTAACGTCTAGATAATCAATCTCGGACAGGGTACCTTGTCCAAGAAAAGTGGGAACCAAAGAGAGAGCACTTTTACATTGTATAAGAATTGTCATTCTGTCTTTCCAAACATGTTGTGCCAAGTGACTGTTGATGGGCACAGAGGTGGGCTTTCCATGGCAGAAGCATTTCTTACATGACGTGGAGTCTCGGGGAAAAATGGAGTTGGTTTGGGCCTTGTCCATATAGCCTGGCCCACAACATAAAGAAACCCATACTGTTTCAAAAGGAGGGAGTAGAAGTGCTTCTCAATACAGGAATAAATTAAAGAAATATTATATACCTGATAAAGAAGTGATTGTACTTCATTGATATAGACTCCAAAAGCTAAATACAAGATACAAATTGAAAATGCAACATAGCATTTCTGATTATCATGATGATTTTCTTTCATTTCTTTTAATACTGGAATGGAACCCAGAAGGACTTAACCACCGAGCCATATCCCACACCCTTTTCTTTAT